ATAGTTCTTCTTATTCATTCTTCACTTTTGATACAATGGTGTGCTATATTTATAGGCACACTTTGGTAACCACTACATCCTTATATCAATGCATATGAATGAGTGATAATAATGTAGAAATAGGGGTTACATGTAACTCCCAAGTGAGCATCTAATGTGGTAGGTCATTGGTCATCCATATATTAATATTTACATAATACTCCCCCTTGGATGACCACTAGATTGCATTACGCTATATCATACTGCCTCATTAAAAACCTTACCAGGAAAACCCATTGGGAAAAAACCATGGTTAAGGGAAAAAGAGTGCAGTGCGTATATGCTCCCCCTCATGACCACATCACTTCAGATTATTGAGTCGCTGAACTCAAATTTCACGAACAACTTTTAGAAAGATTGTTGTCGGGAGTGAGTTAGTGAACAATCTTCTAGATTGTCAATTTGATGCATGATCTTTAGATTTTCTTCATACATGATCGTCAGGATCATTTCATTTGAAAATAGTTCACAACCACAAGTACTAGAGATATGGTGGATCACAAAGTGTAACGAAAGACATTCGAGACTTGCTCATTATAGTTTGTTTTGTTTCTTTATGAAACATTATATCACCATATGTAAGAGATAGCTCGTCTCCGATCAACCAATATAAGGATCAAATGATATATAGGATTTGGATATATAGTTTACCAAATCTCTCTTTGATAATACCATAATAGAACAATCGCATATATTGTTCCTGGAGGTAACAAAGTATTTTCCAACGTTCTAATGAGGAAAACATTGTATCTTGCCAATATTATCAACACCAAAATGATAGTTTATATGGTGCTTGGCTAGCAATGTGCATTGGTGCTCTAATGCAATGTTTCACTTCTTTCTTGATTTCTAAATGGATCTTTGGTCACTTCTAGTGATCTTAGGATCCTAATGTTATTTGATGAACATAATTTGTTCATGCAAAATTACTTTTCCACGTTTTCAACATTACCTTCCTTTCCCATAAAAAGGATCTTAAATCCTTCAATTTAACGTATGTCTCTAAGCAATCAACTGCTTTAGGAAGCTCTTCAGGAGATCCAATAATAGACATATCATCAACATAATATGAGATCGTCACAGAAAGATATTAACAAAACACACATCAAAGAAACATATGAACTAGACAAATCACACTCATAAAATACAACTCATACTTTAAAGTAAATCACAACTCATAAATCAAGAATTTAAAATCCTTGAAGCACTTACAGACAACACAACTATATATGCACAATGCAAATGCTCTAATGACTCTATTTGGATTTAACCTTTTAAGGTCCATTCACACTACTGTTGTAGGTGTTCTCTTAGACGAGTATTTCACATTCGTCTATATTTTCTCAACCCATGCAGGAGATATTCTTAGTCTATCATTATATGTTCTCGAGAACTTTACTTGTTTACTTCAGGTAAATTAATCCTTCTGGGAGTTTCAAATATATTTAACATCTTCGGGGAGTTCAAACAAATAGACTATCACAACAATTTTCAAACATTGATTTGAAAAAGTAGTTGCACCCACCACAGGGGAGTATAACTCCTCTTAAACAATGATAGGTCTTTTCGAGAAACCCATTGCAAAACATTGTGCACTTCAGGTTCATATTTCTTACTTTGAGGATCAAAACTAGATAATGATAACTCATTCCAACTCATCTCTTTGTCTAGCTGTTTTTTTCTCTCCCCCCCCCCCCCCCCCCCCCCCCCCCCCCCCCCCCCCCTTAATGTTGGAAAAGTAATCTATCAAAAAAATAATTTCGCAAACAAATTTCCCATTTGGGATTCAAACCTCAACACAAATTCTCAATCTCTAATGAGAATCAACTTAAAATAATGTGGTGGAGCAATTGGGATGTATGCGGCACACCCTTATATTCTCATATGGGAAATGTTAGGTTTCTGACCAAAACCATTTGTAAAAAGGGGGAAACTTATGATAACTTGTTGGTTAGATGTGAACCAATACTATCACTTGCCAGCTAGCATGTCCTCGACAAGAGTCTGGAAGGCTCAGCTTGTTCTATTACGCAAAGTGATTTTTGATTGGATAACCATCAAAATGTATCCAAAGTGAGGCAATCAATCTCGCAAACATCGGGTTGCGATTAGATAAAATAAAAGTGATCATATAAAATCTCAAGAGATTTGCCAACTCTTATACAAACTCTGATCAATTGTTCTATTCTCCTTGAGAACAAACATGACATAATAACTCTTTTAGTTGAAGAGTTCTTTGACTTCTCATATGACGTTCTCATGAATTCTCAAAGAACTTTTTTCACATCAAGATCCGGGATGGTCTAACCGGACCAACCAATTATCAAGTTATCAAATCTTGTAAACTTCTGGTTTACACTTTTATGTGTACGGATGTACTAATATACATGTAGTACATATTTGTGATGCAAATATTAGTTTCACTATTTTCTTGATAAGATATTCATTTTACGAATATCCTTTTAATTGGGTAATGCATCATCACTAGGTAGTTTGGTTCCTTCAGGCCACAAAATTAGCTCCTTTAAAACTTTACCATATTTTGTACCATATTCCACCCTTCCGGGGACTTATGATTTGATGCATTCTTAGTAAACACATATTCATAGTGAATATCATCACAAATTAGTATCACGAGTACATAATTTAGTTACTTCAAGTAACCAAACATAAGCTCTTCGGAAGCTTTTTCTCATTTATGTACTCTACCATATAGTTTATCTGGATTTTTTCTAACAATCATACTTTACAAAATTACACTAAAATAATAAATGAGAATATTCAAACTTAAGACAAAAATGACGAACTTATCAAGTTACTCGTTCTAGATAAAAGTTATCAAGTTAAATTATGCATGAAAATAATGGCACAATGAAACATAATAGAAAACAAGAATCATAATACTACAATTGTGAAAATTTAAATAAGCTTTATTAGGAACAATATCATCACTAACTAGGTGATTTTAAATTTATATATGTGTTCCATTATGCATTTCAATGGACAACAGGTACATTACATTATCATGACTTTGATAATGCAATTGTTATTTCACCCTTATTTATAATTCTTCTCTTTTCTCACTTCTGGTGAAAAGATCCAAACAATACATTTAGCATATATATAATCATGTTTATAGCTCCATTCACTTCGGGGAATAGATTGTTTCATTCACTTCTGGGAATGAAAATGTCTCAAGTGCAATATCATTTTCATCTTTAATGGAGAATATACCAACTTATAATACAAAAAAAAATATGTTCCATAATATTGATATTGCATGAGCGTGTATGAATTAGCTTTTCCCTTTGATTTTTGGTAGAATAAGGTCTTTTGCGTACAACGGGTACGGGACAAATGAAATTTTCCATTACATTGGTAACATACAAAACCAATCTTCTTGTTACCATGTCCACTTCTTTCTTTGCCCCTGGATTCTTCAATTTCCACTTCTAGGGAATATATGGGCTCTTGGAACTTGCATTTTCTACATATCAATGTGGGAACGATAAGAACAGAATAACACGGAGAATTGAAAAATTAACTCATCACTTATATTACTTTTCTTGTTATTGCTACTACATGAGCAAATTTTAATTTGCGATAATGTCAAAACACCAATTTAATTTTAAGGAATCAATGTATGTATTGTAAAACACATAATAATAGGAATCAAATTACACAACCCAAAATTTTAATTCAAATAGATGTACGAGATAAAATATCAATGGATGGTATACTACGAGAAAAGAGTAGCATACATCTTAATTTATTGGAATGAGATAATCTCACCACAAATAAGACAATAAGATATGAAAGAAGACAAAGATTTTGCATACCTTGATCATATTGTGATCTTACTCCAATATACTAGATTGTGTAGAGAGACAATGACCAACCATGATGCTAGCAGAGCTTCGTGCTGATAACGTGTTATAAAACTAATTGAAAATGTAAACAACTACAAGAGAATATTAAAGAGGGAAAGACACAAGAGAAGTGAGGGGAATAGTTCTTCTTATTCATTCTTCACTTTTGATACAATGGTGTGCTATATTTATAGGCACACTTTGGTAACCACTACATCCTTATATCAATGCATATGAATGAGTGATAATAATGTAGAAATAGGGGTTACATGTAACTCCCAAGTGAGCATCTAATGTGTTAGGTCATTGGTCATCCATATATTAATATTTACATAATAAAATATAAATTTTGTGCTTTTTTATCTTTGTTCTTTGTAACTTCCTCTGAAATTCCCTACATCGTGTAATAGTTTGCGCACCTTTCACGTCCCAGTACAAGGCCGCCTTTGAAAATCAATTTTTCGGTATCTCTTTGCACTACAATTTTATTGTTGTGGATTTAAGCTAGGAAAGTAGAAGATTTCAACTCCGATATCAATCCATGAAGAATAGAATGAAGTTCGATAAATAGAGTTGCAGAAGGAGGATTAGAAATCGAATTTTTGGTTGAAACATATGCCTCTTGAGATTGAAGATAGAGTGGATAAAAATTTGGTTGTACGACGGAGAGTGGTGGCTATTGGATCTTTAGGTTTGTGGTTTTTACAGCTATCACAACCTATTCTATCTTAAGACGAGAAATCATTGATTTATTTACTGCAGTTGGTCGATTCTTTATTCAACCTACTGGAACTAATAGATAAGGAGTGTCTAATTTTGTGTATTATTATTTTAATCAAATCTATTAGTATATTGGAGGTAACCCTAATTTTGTCGTTTTCTCTCAAGTTTTGATGGTTCTCTCTTAGATGAGTTGTTAGTATATAGGTCAATAGGTGACTTGAATCAACAACTCTTCATTTTTTTTTTTTATTACTTGCATATTTTTCCTAAAAGGTGAGCATTGAACCCTTTTATGTATGATTGTGAGGTTTAAGGTGTCATTTCGTTTTGGTGATAGATTTGTTGGGATAGTTACAATGTATGCATTGTCCACAATACAATGTTTTTTTAAATTTTGTGCACAAACAATACATGCATTATTTGCTTGATTTGCTTGATGTAACATAAACTATCACTCACAATGAGTGATAGTTAAATCTCAAAGTTTTTTGTAAGATTGTTGAGATTGTTGATTTTTTCTTCTTCCAACTATCTAACTATATGTCTCTACTCCTATGTGTGTTGCTTTTTATATTTAAAAAGGGGGAAAAGTGACATTTCACCCAAAAAGTAATATAACTTAACCAAACTATGTAAACTACAATACACAAATTTTTCTATATACATGTGTATTATTATGCATGCGTTGATGATAATGTATCAATTTAAACTCCTAAGATTTAGTTTAAAACTATCTATGGGTGGTGTGAAAATTCCAATGAGCTTTTATACTTTATCTTTCTTGATAGTCAACTAACCAATAGCATTTTAACGGAGACTTAATTATCACTATAAAATTGGGATCAATGATACATTTTGAAATTTCATATTCTTAAATGATTGTGATATTTCTTCGAATGTTCGACCAATATATTCTTTCTTTATGTATCATTTAGATTGAAAATTATCAATAAAATTAAACGAGTTGATAGATTTAAACATAACCTAAAAATATAAGTAATTAAATATGAACATTCCGGCAAACACATCGGGTTATAAGCTAATATATATGTATGACAAAGGCTAGCGTACGACTGACGTACGGCTGTGTTCATACTTGGTTTTTGAACTTCAATATATTTCACTGAATCAGAACTGTCAGTTATTATTTTTTAGATTAAATGAATCTTATGCCTTGGGTTAGAGAATTAGGGATTGGGGTTCACCAATAGAGGTTAGGGTATAGTATCATCATCATGCCTCAAACTCCGATCAATTCGTCTTCTAAATAATAAAACTCGATAGGCGTACAATGTACGCCTGACGTACGCTAGCTTGAACTCTATATATCATTTGTCACATTACTTGTGTGTTTCAAGTGACGGATGTAAAACGAATTGAATGGGTAATTTGTAACCTTTTAATTAACCAGTCTAATGATTAATTAGAAAACTGTTTTTGCAGTTAACTTCGTAACGTGATTATGCATACATCAATCCAACCCAATATAAAGAAGAGTGTAGATGGATGGTGTGTTACAAGTTACAACCATACCAATCTATTTGTAAGGGAATAGGGTCAATTTCACTGCTGATACTGAAAAGATCAACTGGCATTGTACACAAACTAAAATAATTATGAACTTGATTCAGAGGAGATAAATATTATACTACACCGTAAAATTTTCACATTGTGCCATTTGATGCATTTAAATTTTCACATTGCACCCTGAGTTGACCGGTTGAAATAATATTAACTAGGGCCAATAATCACTGTTACTAAAAAATGCGTTGAGATAAATCCTGTTACTCTTGGACGATGGACGTGCCAGATTATTAAGAACGTAACTGCTTGTGAACAAACAATTGTTGCACGACCCCGAATAAGAGTTTGAACTAGTGGTATTATCCATGGTTGATTTTAAACCAGAAAATCACAATATTAAATTTTTTTTAAATAGCATCTAATGAAACGAAAAACAGACATATCTCTAAAATTCATGGTTGGGCCGTCCAAACTTATTATATTTTCCTCCAACGCGTAATAAGTGGTCGCTATAACCTATAAGGGATCGTTTTGTCACAATTCGCAATCCATACTGGTTGCAAAAAGTTATTGCACTATTCATTTTTTTTGTTGTTGCTAAAAGCTATTGCACAATTCATTGTTCTCCTCACCTGGAGAAGTTTATTAAGGACTTGGCAGATGGACGTAGACATTATTCGTATTAATGAAACCTTCAACTACTACGTACTACGCATAGGTTGGTGGTAAGATGCCCGGTTCCGACGAGGCAAACTGCAAGAACTCCAAGTCGGCCTCCAGTGCACTCATCACCGGCTCCTCCAGAGTCAACCAAACCTCCATTCCATCCTTGCTCCTTCCGTCCTCCATCAGAACCACCGAGTTCGAACAATACGGCACCGTATCATCGTCATCACCTCCTCCTTCTCCGGTCGCACTGCTCAGCCCAACCCAAACGGTTGGACCCCACCCAAAATCGGTCTTAGTGAAATCAAACCCATGCCAGCAAGAGAAGTTGTACACGTCCGTGTTCCCGTCTTCAATCTCCGCTTGCCTCTCGTAGTACTCCCAAATAGCTTCCGTACCTTTCTCCCCACGCAACCTCTCCACGTAATCATAGTCCATCTCGGCAACGCCTTTCCTAACCAGCGCTGCCAGCTCATCGATCCTCGTACCTTGTTCGTTGACATGATGATCATAGCTAGCATCCGAGAACAAGATCAGGTTGCCGAACGAATGCCTCCTCAAACGCGGCCGTGTCAGCCTCCTGAGATTCACACTCTGAGTAAAAACGGAAGGGTTCCCCGATTTCGACGCCTGCATGATACACTTCCATACGAAACCCGAAACTGCCTCCGCCCGGGTCGGATTCTCGAGAGCTTTGCCTTTGGCTTGGTCCCTGAGATTGGCCACCGACTCCGGGCCGAATACGAACCTCCTCGTCACCGGCTTCCCTCCACTCCCGAACCAGAGATCTTCGGTCAAAGATGCATAATGACGTGGCATTGACTGGACTGGAGGGAAAGCTAGAGGCCCTTGTTCGAAATTCGGGTGCACCACGTTGTCAAGGCGGTTGGCGTTGATGGCCGCCCAGGTCCGGAGTAAGGCACTAACCGCGGTCCCGTCGTGGCTCTTGTGTGAGAAGCAAATCCCGAGTGCAAGTCCACCACACTCGAACGCGTTCAGCTGGGCTGCGATCTGTGGGCCCGTGTCGGGGGCCCTACAGAACGTCCGGTAGGGAAGGAAGTGGTTTAGCTTTGGTAACACTGACGTGTTACCAGAACTAATAAGGAAGTCGGATAACTGGCCATTCACGTGGGTCTCGACGAAGGGAACTCCTTCGTCGAAGTCGTGGATGGCGTAGTTGTCCCTGACCCTTCCGGCTAGAGGGTAGTAGAGGGAGAGGGTTTCGGAGAGAGAGCACTTGAGCTGGTTGGAGATGTTTTTGAAGGAGTTCCGAGCATTGTTGTTCATGGTGTTGTTGTTTGGGTAGAAGAGCACGAGTGGAGAATAACTCATGGGAGTTAGCTGATCCAACAGGTTGAGCTTCATGGGATCTACGAGTTGATTGGGTAGTAGTGTAGATGGCTTCACGCTTCCGCTTGAGAGGATTGAAACTTCCATGTTGATCGGTGCGTGAAGCAATGATTTATATGTGAAGGATTGTGATATGCTCAGCTTACTTAAAAGGTTATATGCATGCAATTCGATTGTATGCATGGGCACGTTTGCTTTGAGCAATGAAAGCTAGAGGTGGCTTTGCTTTTATAGCACAACAAACTGGAGAGAGATCATTGTATGGTTTGAGACTTTGAGTTACTACTTACTAGCTAGCCACGTCTCTGTATGGTTTGAATTAAAATTCCATGTAGAAAGACATGTCATTTGTGAGGATTAAACCAGAATTGACAAATTTCGGCAACCGAATTTGTATATTCAACTTTACACATTTGATTTTACTATAAAAAATACGAATGACATTAAAAAATATTCCTTCGAGATATTTTTTGAATCTTGATAATTGATTTTCTCTCGACGAAGGAATCGGCTACGACGTCGAGATACTATTGCATTGACAGCTACAACTGTGTCATGCACTTCCGTGCCATCTTTTTATGTCGTCCACATTGGTTTACATGAATGCCTTCACTTCTAGAATCCCACTTAACTAATCTCCAAAAAAGGGAATCATGGTTACAACACGGGCAGATACAAATTGGTCTAGGTATATAATTCATGCACTACAACCAAAATGGTCTTTTCTGAACATTCTCATGCAACAAAATAAGTACATACTAATAACCTCAGAGACAGAGGATGGCTATAATTAACATTTTGCATCACATCATAATATACGTGTATACAATATAAATACATCGGAAAATAGATAGATTTGATTTTGAGAAAATGTTATAATTTGATTATGACAAACTAGGCAGATTGTGTACTCATATTTTCTTGTTCATATAGAATGAAACTGTTTAGCTAATCGTTTAGACCTGATCTCTGTATGTATGATACTAGAGATATGCCCTTTGCGATTATTTTTCAAACTACCATTAGCTAGGGATTAGGTATATAGGTGTCAAAACAAAACTCGATCTGACTAACCCGCCCGATCAACCCGACTCGCAACCTGACCGCAATCCAAATTGACTAAAAGTCAACAACCCGTAACCCATCCGACCCACAACCTGATTGACCCGCAACCCGACTGACCCACAACCCGATTAACCTGAATCCGATTAAACCTGCAACCCGAGTAACCCGAACCTGACTAACCCGTTACCCGACTGACTCAACCCGAACTTCACCTAATCAACTTGAATCATTATTATAATATATAATACATAGTTTTTCAAAATAAAGTTTTTCATTCTAAACTTAGGTAAAATTAATTTTTCATTTTGTATAGGGAATTTAAAAAATATGAAACTCACTTAATATTATGCATTTTAATAAAATTACAAAAATTAAAACATGAAGGTCACTTGTACACTAAGTTCTTTAATAAAATTAGGAAAGTAAATATAAAATCAACACAATATCAATATTAATAATGAAAAAGTAATAATTGAGATCATGGACAATATTAATATAATATATAAATTAAAATTTTAGTTAGTTTAACTATTCAATAAAATTATTAATTAAATATAAATAAAGTAAAATAATTTATTTTGTAATTTGATCATTTAAAAAGAAGAGGGAAATTTTGGTGTATTCAAGTTTTTGGGAAGAGAAAGAAGAGGAAAATTTGATTCTTTGAATTTTTTAAAAAAGAAACGAGCGGAAATTTTGGTGGTTTTGATTTGTGGGAAAAGAAAGAAGTGAAAAAATTTGGTTCTTTTGACTATAAAAGAGAAATAAGGACTGAAATTTTTAGTTTTGAACTTTTTGTGGAAGGAAGAGGGAAATTTGATTCTTCAATTTTATGGAAGAGAAAGGAGGAAAAATTGAATGTTTCTAATTTATGGAAGGAATTTGTCAAAAAAAAATTTATGGAAGGAGAAAGGAGGGCAACCAATTTTAGTATTTTAATTCTTTTTTTGTGAAAATAAAGAAGGAAACAAATTTGGTGTTTCAACTTTTTTATTTTTCAAAATTTTAGCCTTTGAAATTTGAATCTTTAATTTTATAGGGCATGACTAATTAAATTTATTCTTATATGCTTTGAAGGTTTATATATATATATATATAATTGTTTATGATCTAGTGACTAAATTAACCATTAGTTACAAGTTACAACAATCATTTGTTTTAGAAAAATTCACTAAAGTTGTCTAGTTGTTTTCTATGCTTCTACATTTATTGCACGTGGTAAGGGTATATGATGTAGAGTATAGGATATATGGTTAGGGTCTAGCAAATATCACTTTTATCTATGTTTTGAAAATCAAATTATGAAATTCACTTTAAATTAACTATACTAGCAAAATCACAACTCATAAGAATATATGATTAGGGTATAAAGTATGTGGTTAGTGTATAATGTATTGATGGTTCAGGGTATACGATCAACAACATATACTAACTTAATATTGTCGATTGAGGATAAGGTTAAGTGTATAGGATATATTTTATTGAGTAAGTTATGATTAAAAGTCACAACAATTTTTCAAAATTTGATAGTGAATCTTTAGTGGTTCAATTTTAGGGTAATTCGAACAATTTTACAAAAAAACTCGTTTGACAACAGTTTACTGAAGTTTTTTGGGAATTGAGTTATTTCGAAATAACTCCTTTTACCACTCTGCTTTTGCCAAATACCAGATTTGCATGGTTATACTATACGAGATACTTTAATCCAATTACTACTGAAATAATACTAAAATACCAAATAAACAATTAAGGTGTCTTTTGGTTGCAAATGTGGATATCACCATTACTATTAGCTAGTGTACTTTACCAATTACCATTAATTACATAACAAGTTTGCAAATCATACAAATTGAGTCAACATTTTGTCTAGATTTTTTTTTAAATCAAGGATATATACGAGGTAGGAAAAAATTGGTAAAAATTGAGAACAATATTTTAAATTAGTGTAATAAAATGTGTAAGTTGGTAACGAGTAAGGAGTAAGTTACTCGATGCGCTGACCCGAACAACCCGTAGCCCGATCCGCCCGCAACCCGCCCGGCCCAAAACTCGATGAACCCGCTACCCGATTGAACCCGGTCCCGATGAACTCGCAACCCGACTAACCCGCAAGCCGTTTGAACCCGAACCCGATGAACCCGAACCCGACGAACCTGTAACCCGATGAACCCAAAACTCAACTAACCCGCAACTCGATTGAACCCAGCCCAAACCCGCCCGATTGACACCTAATTATAGAAGGATAAAAAATTGTTTTGGATCGAAATGGGCTCAAAACGTTCCAGAGAAAGAGTACCAAAGGGCTATTGACATGCTAAAAATGTTAGAATAGCAAGCAGGGCCCAATCCCCGCCCCTATAATTCTATCTAATCTACATAGTTAAAACTTAAAATACAGTTAAACAATAGAAAACAGTACTGAAGATGCTGAATGTCAAATCTTCAATTTGCTGTCACGTTCTGTACATGCATGCTAGTGTCTCGTTCCAGTAGTCTCACGCGTCATTGCTGTACATTGCTACCTATATTATTTGGTCATAAAAGGTCTATAGTGACCAAATTGCCTGGAAAGGTTCTTGCTAAATTCAGCTAATTTGGTTAGTTACTTTGACACAACCTAAAAGTATGATTGCACGTAAATTATACATATTGTCTATGTTTGATCCGATTTATAGGAGACAATATTATTTAATATAAAAGAAATCTAACAAGATTCATTTTGACTACTTTTTATTTTTTTAATTTATTTTATTTTATATTATAATCCTTTTTAATAACTTTACATCACATTTTATATTAAAAATACTTCTAATAGTATTTCAGCCAAACACACAACTGCTTTAATTGAAAAATATTTTTCTAAAAGCTTAAACCATTACAAAACGCACCACGGGACCAAACTAAGCATCCAGCCATATATCCACCCAAATTATTGCCCTTGCTTTCGCTTTCCGTCCCTTTCACGATTTGTCATTTCGTTTTGCTCGTGTTTTATTATTATTCCCACCACACTTTAGTTTATCATAAACTTGATTCGAAGATCGAAGTAACGTAGACAAAAACTATATAAGATATCAATTTTAACGTAAAATATTAAAAGATTTGCAAGCTAGCTTGTATGAGATAGATCTGACTTACGTCGGTATATTGAACTGTTCCATGATAATATCCAAGTTTTTTTTTTTTACCAAGGGAAGTTGTTATTTTGAGTATTGTTTTGGCCTCTCTTATTATGCTGGATGTGCTTGCATCGTTTCTCATATTTGAGGAACTTCTCCATTTTTTAATATTATCAAGTGAATATATTTAACTTTCTCGTCATGGTAAATTAGGGACGCCATTGTGTTATGCATTCCGATTCCCATGAGTTTCGGGTTCGAGAGAGGTTCGGTATTACCAGAAGTAAATATAGGGTTCACGTAGCCCTAACTAGAGGTAAATGTAAGTATGTAACGATGAGAAAGTGACATAAAGAGTTTTCGAATCATTTATTTGGAATATATAGTAATTGCCTAATTGGACAACCCAATTTCATAGAATGAAGTCTAGACAACATATATAATGGATACAGAAAGGTAGATGGATTTAGTATCGTTTCGATCCCAAGGTCTTCGAGGATAGTAACCTAGTTCTCTTTTCCCTTAAAATGCCCATTGCTTGCTTAATGTATGCACCATCTCTGGGGAGGGAGCAGTGAAACACATTATTTGTGATGAAGGTTGAAACCATTCAAAATCCGATCCTGGACGTGCCTGGCGTGTGGATAATCCAATCAAACCATTCAAAGTCCATACAATCCTAACCAAAATTTTCCTCAATTCCATACATCGAATATCAAGATACATTACAACAAAAAAAAGCTTTTCGTGAACAAATAATTTTGGTAGCAGAATTGTTCGCTATAGCCGCGTTACTAATTCCTATCGCAACCAAATTGCTGATTGGTAGTGAAAACGAAATCAATCGCAACCCATGATACATTTTATGATTTTTTGCGACCACTCTTGTGGTTGTCATAGGTTTTGATATTGGTGGCGAAATATTGATGATTGGTCACCAAAAGTACTAATGACAACTAATACTTTTGGACACCAAAAATATTAACAGTGAATATACAATTTGGTTGGGAAATTTACATATGGCAACCAATTACAACATTATGAAACCAATTAATTTGGTTATAGAGGTTTGGAAAAACCATTAAATTTGTTCGTGAAAATACATATGGCGACCAAAATGTAATTTTAGACGACTAATTTTTGGGATTTTAAAGGTTCAATAGAACCATAAAATTTGGTCGTGAAAAATACATACGGCAACCAATCATGTAATTTTAGACGACTAATTTTTGTGGTTTTAAAAGTTCAATATAACCATAAAATTTGGTCGTGAAAATTTAGTACGACAACCGATTAAATTTGGTTGTATAAAAAGCAAAGGACAAACAATAATTTTGGTTATGAAAGTTCAATACAATAAAGAAATTTGGTCTGGAAATATGAACATCAACCAATCATATCTCCAAATCTAAATTGAAATTATGGTGAAAATGATTTAATTTCGTATATAACATAACTGTATTGAACCAAAATCATGGTTACATAATTTTCATTGAACAATTAATTGTACACATGATTCTGTTATACTTAAAATGACAAATCATTCTTTCCAATATATTAAACAATTAATTGTATACATGATTCTTAACTCATGCAACAAATCCAATGGCTTCGGAGTGACTAGCTCAATTTCCACTATATAACTTGGAAAAATACCTTTTTAACACCATCTGCAACCAACAAAAGACAGTAAACATCTAAGTAAGAGATGGAAGATGAAAGTTTCATGTAAACAGAAATACATTTTTAACACCGTTGCCTTCAAAATTCAAGGAGAACGACATTTCTAAAAAATTGCCAGAAATCGGTGATGGTACTCCTGAAAATTTGCCAAAATGGCCACGGAAATATTCAGTCCGAATCGGAGTTTAATAGACTTATTCATCTCTAAAGAATAGCCTCAGTCTAAATTTGAGATCCGAAGCCTTCAAAATCAAAGCAAAACGGTCTTTCGAAAATATCACCGAAAAATTACGAAAATGACCCCTTCCAAAAAATCGCCCGCAATCGGTTATGGTACCCCCTTTGGAATCTGCAAAAAATGGTCACGGAAGTATTTCGCCCGAATCGGTGTTTAATAGACTTATTCATCCCTAAAGAATAGCCTCAGGCTGAATTCGTGATCCGTAGCCTTCAAAATCCAAGCAAAACGGCCTTTTGAAAATATCGCCGAAAAATTTACGAAAATCACCCCCCCCCCCCCCCCCCCCCCCCCCGGTACAAGTTCAACCAAATTTCTGCCCAAATCGGCGATTAGTAGACTTCATCATTGGTAGAGAGTACCCTAAGGATGAATCTGTGATCCGTCGCCTTCAAAATCCAAGGAAAACGGCATTTCCAAAAAATCGCACGAAATCGGTGATGGTACCCCTTTGGAATCTGCCAAAAATAGCTTCGGAAATATTCCGCCCGAATCGTTGTTTAATAGACTTATTCATCCCTAAAAAATAACCTCAGGCTGAATTCGTGATCCGTAACCTTCAAAATCCAAGCAAAATGGCATCTCGAAAATATCGCCAAAAAATTACGAAAATGCCCTCCTAAAAAGTACGACCAAATTTCGTCCCAAATCGGCGATAAGTAGACTTCATCATCGGTAGAGAGTACCCTAAGGAAGAATCTGTGATCCGTCGCCTTCAAAATTCAAGGAGAACGACATTTCTAAGAAATCGCACGAAATCGGTGATGGTACCCCTTGAAAATCTGCCAGAAATGGCCCCGGAAATATTTTGCCCGAATCGGTCTTTAATATTCTGCGATCTGTGACCCGTCGCCTTCAAAATTCAAGGAAAACGGCATTTCCAAAAAATCGCCCTAAATCGGTGATGGTACCCCTTTGGAAACTGCCAAAAAAGACCCGGAAATATTCTGCCCGAATCGGTGTTTAATAGACTTATTCATCCCTAAAGAATAGCCTCAGGCTGAATTCGTGATCCGTAGCCTTAAAAATCCAGGCACAAAGGCCTTTCGAAAATATCGCCGAAAAATTACGAAAATGCCCCCCGAAAAGTTTCGACCAAATTTCTGCCCAAATCGGCGATTAGTAGACTTCATCATTGGTAGAGAGTACCCTAAGGACGAATCTATGATCCATCACATTCAAAATCCAAGGAAAACGGCATTTCCAAAAAATCACCCGAAATCGGTGATGGTACCCCTTTGGAAACTGCCAAAAATGGCCTCCGAAATATTCCGCCCGAATCGGTGTTTATTAGACTTATTCATCCCTAAAAAATAGCCTCAGACTGAATTCGTGATCGGTAGCCTTCAAAATCCAAGCAAAACGGCCTTTCGAAAATATCGCCAAAAAATTACGAAAATGCCCCCCGAAAAGGTTCGACCAAATTTCTGCCCAAATCGGCGATTAGTAGACTTCATCATTGGTAGAGAGTACCCTAAGGACGAATATATGATCCGTCGCCTTCAAAATCCAAGGAAAACGACATTTCCAAAAAATCGCCCGAAATCGGTGATAGTACCCCTTTGGAAACTGCCAAAAATGGCCACGGAAATATTCCCCCCGAATCGGTTTTTAATAGACTTATTCATCCCTAAAGAATAGCCTCAGACTGAATTCGTGATCCGTAGCCTTCAAAATCCAAGCAAAACGGCCTTTCGAAAATATCGCCAAAAAAATTACGAAAATGCACCCCGAAACAGTTCGACCAAATTTCTGCCCAAATCGGCGATTAGTAGACTTCATCATTGGTAGAGAGTACCCTAAGGACGAGTCTGTGATCCGTCGCCTTCAAAATCCAAGGAAAACGGCGTTTCCAAAAAATCTCCCGAAATCGGTGATGGTAACCCTTTGGAAACTGCCAAAAATGGCCCCGGAAACATTCCGCCCGAATCGGTGTTTAATAGACTTATTCATCCCTAAAGAATAGGCTCAGGCTGAATTCGTGATCCGTAGCCTTCAAAATCCAAGCAAAACGGCCTATCGAAAATATCGCCGAAAAATTACGAAAATTCCCCCTGAAACAGTTCGACCAAATTTTTGCCCAAATCGGCGATTAGTAGACTTCATCATTGGTAGAGAGTACCCTAAGGACGAGTCTGTGATCCGTCGCCTTCAAAATCCAAGGAAAACGGCGTTTCCAAAAAAACGCCCGAAATCGGTGATGGTGTACCATTTGGAAATTGCCAAAAATGGCCACGGAAATATTCCCCCTGAATCGGTTTTTAATAGACTTATTCATCCCTAAAGAATAGCCTCAAGCTGAATTCGTGATCCGTAGCCTTCAAAATCCAAGCAAAACTGCCTTTCGAAAATATCGCCCAAAATTTACAAAAATGCCCCCCAAAACAGTTCGACCAAAAATCTGCCCAAATCGGCGATTAGTAGACTTCATCATTCGTAGAGAGTACCCTAAGGACGAGTCTGTGATCTGTCGCCTTCAAAATCCAAGGAAAACGGCGTTTCCAATAAATCGCCCGAAATTGGTGATGGTACACCTTTGGAAACTGCCAAAAATGGCCACGGAAATATTCCGCCCGAATCGGTGTTTGATATACTTATTAATCCCTAAAGAATAGCCTCAGGCTGAATTCGTGATCCGTAGCCTTCAAAATCCAAGCAAAACGGCCTTTCGAAAATATCGCCAAAAAAATTACGAAAATGCACCCCGAAACAGTTCGACCAAATTTCTGCCCAAATCGGCGATTAGTAGACTTCATCATTCGTAGAGAGTACCCTAAGGACGAGTCTGTGATCTGTCGCCTTCAAAATCCAAGGAAAACGGCGTTTCCAATAAATCGCCCGAAATTGGTGATGGTACACCCTTGGAAACTGCAAAAAATGGCCCCGGAAATATTCCGCCCGAATCAGTGTTTAATAGACTTATCCATCCCTAAAGAATAGCCTCAGACTGAATTCGTGATCCGTAGCCTTCAAAATCCAAGCAAAACGGCCTTTCGAAAATATCGCCGAAAAATTACGAAAATGCCCCCCGAAAACGTTCGACCAAATTTCTGCCCAAATCTGCGATTAGTAGACTTCATCATTCGTAGAGAGTACCCTAAGGACGAGTCTGTGATCTGTCGCCTTCAAAATCCAAGGAAAACGGCGTTTCCAATAAATCGCCCGAAATTGGTGATGGTACACCCTTGGAAACTGCAAAAAATGGCCCCGGAAATATTCCGCCCGAATCAGTGTTTAATAGACTTATCCATCCCTAAAGAATAGCCTCAGACTGAATTCGTGATCCGTAGCCTTCAAAATCCAAGCAAAACGGCCTTTCGAAAATATCGCCGAAAAATTACGAAAATGCCCCCCGAAAACGTTCGACCAAATTTCTGCCCAAATCTGCGATTAGTAGACTTCATTATTGGTAGAGAGTACCCTAAGGACGAATCTGTGATCCGTCGCCTTCAAAATCCAAGGAAAACGACGTTTCCAAAAAATCGCCCGAAATCGGTGATGGTACCCCTTTGGAAACTGCCAAAAATGGCCCGGGAAATATTTCGCCCGAATCGGTGTTTAATAGACTTATTCATCCCTAAAGAATAGCCTCAGGCTGAATTCGTGATCCGTAGCCTTCAAAATCCAAGCAAAACGGCCTTTCGAAAATATCGCCGAAAAATTACGAAAATGCCCCCCGAAAACGTTCGACCAAATTTCTGCCCAAATCTGCGATCAGTAGACTTCATCATTGGTAGAGAGTACCCTAAGGACGAATCTGTGATCCGTCGCCTTCAAAATCCAAGGAAAACGGCGTTTCCAAAAAATCGCCCGAAATCGGTGATGGTACCCCTTGGAAACTGCAAAAAATGGCCCCGGAAATATTCCGCCCGAATCAGTGTTTAATAGACTTATCAATCCCTAAAGAATAGCCTCAGACTGATTTCGTGATTCGTAGCCTTCAAAATCCAAGCAAAACGGCCTTTCGAAAATATTGCCATAAATTTACGAAAATGCCCCCCGAAAACGTTCGACCAAATTTCTGCCCAAATCTGCGATTAGTAGACTTCATCATTGGTAGAGAGTACCCTAAGGACGAATCTGTGATCCGTCACCTTCAAAATCCAAGGAAAACGGCGTTTCCAAAAAATCGCCCGAAATCGGTGATCGTACCCCTTTGGAAACTGCCAAAAATTGCCCCGGAAATATTCCGCCCGAATCGGTGTTTAATAGACTTATCCATCCCTAAAGAATAGCCTCAGGCTGAATTCGTGATCCGTAGCCTTCAAAATCCAAGCAAAACGGCCTTTCGAAAATATCGCCGAAAAATTACGAAAATGCTCCCCAAAAACATTCGACCAAATTTCTGCCCAAATCTGCGATTAGTAGACTTCATTATTGGTAGAGAGTACCCTAAGGACGAATCTGTGATCCGTCGCCTTCAAAATCCAAGGAAAACGACGTTTCCAAAAAATCGCCCGAAATCAGTGATGGTACCCCTTTGAAAACTGCCAAAAATGGCCCCGGAAATATTCCGCCCGAATCGGTGTTTAATAGACTTATCCATCCCTAAAGAATAGCCTCAGGCTGAATTCGTAAGTTTACCACTCCACAAGATGAAATCGAGAAGACCATTTGGGGAGCATGTGATGTTTAAGAGGCCACATCAATCACAAGCAACACATGCTTGTGCTAAGCATACTAATTTGGCTAAGTTTGGAAAGGGGGGCATGCCTCCAACCACTTGTAGTGGACATTGGGGCATATCTAACAAGTCACAACGCGAGAAAGCCATAAAAATTTATTGCAGATTTGAAAATTTGGCTAATTATGGACAACGCATGTCCAAAAAGTCATATGAAGTCCAAGCCACACATGTTTGTGATAAGCATGTTAGTTTGGCTAAGTATGAATATGGGGGCATGTCAGTGTCACCCATCATGAAGTATGAAGTAGGGGGCATGTCTTGGAAGACACAGCAGCCCCAAGCCACCCATGACATTTATAAGTGTAAAACTATGGTTAAGTCTGGACAAGAGGATATGCAACCAATCGCAAACAGTGGATATGAGGTCAAGTCCAACAAGAAAAGGCGCGGGAAAGCCAAAAAGAGTTCTCGTAGTGTTGAAAATTTAGCTAAGTATGGGCAAGGAGACATGTCACCCACCATGAATAATGGAGTAGGGGGCACGCCCAAGAATCTAAAAGAATTCCAACCTACACATGCTTGTGATAAGTACGCAAGTTTGGCTAAGTGTGTACAGGGGGGCAAGTCCATGTCCATGAGTAGTAAGTACATGCCATCAATCATGAATGATGGACATGGGGGCATGCATAAGAAGGTATCATACGCACAAAGAACCAAGGATGGTCGTGTGCTAAGGGTAGGAGCCAACAAGGTTTGGAGGTTGAAAGACAAAGTCAAGTGGGCCACATGGGTGGTCGCCAACTTTTCAAGACTGGACATCGTCTCCAACAACATGAGGAGAGTAAGCATGTCTCAACCATGAGGAAACCAAGGCAGCGGAAAACCCATGGTCGTCTTGACATGTCAAGTGATGTGGCTAAAGCATATGAGCATGAGACCCCATGCAAGGCCACCAAGGCTAGACATGCTGATCATATACCACCCACTAGTAAGCTAGAAAATTCAAAATTAATGTATGGAGAATCATGTTCTATGGAGGAAAAGAGGCATGTGGTATATGGATGGCTTGCATGTTTTAATCCATGGACTTGGCAGTGGGTGTACACCTTTGGCGCATTAGTTGTTGCCAGAGGCAATGGAGAGCAGTGACGTTTGTCACTCCTTGTTATCTTAAATAAATAAATATCATATATATTAATAAATAAGTAAAAGCCAATCATGGCTATATAAGAAAGAATAGAGAGAAAATAACAAAGTGGAAATTTTGAGTCGAAGTTATTAGACTTTGATGTGAAGATCTTACCACCAGGTCGTAGTGATGGCTAGGCATACCGAGTCGTAGATTGCGTCTTGCCATGCTATGTCGTCTTGTCCCAAGTGGCCACCAGTTTGGATGTTGGCCACGACCTAAGGGCATCGTGGCTTGGAGATGAGTGATGGCCAATTTGATCATGTACAATAAGAAAAGTGTAGGGGCCTCACTGAATTGTTGACGAAAAGCCAACAAGGAAAGGGTTTCTCGTGGCTACAAATGAATGAAGACAACATAGGCGGCATAGCTAGCCACTTGAAAGACGTAGGTATCATGGTGTTGTTTTATGGGAAAAAAATTCAAGTTTTATTGAACCTGTGGTCATGGGTGAGTAGAGACAAGCCTTGTTACTCGAGGACCAGTTAGAGAAGGGGTATAAGTGGTCAAGTTGGTCTCAACTATTTAGTCCATAATCCTTATGCACTAAGTAGTTGGGGGCATTTGTTTACACCATAAATTTTGTCTTGTACCACATTGGTGAGTTACAAGATAATCAAGGAGTTTATAAGGCCACACCCATTATAACAATTAATGTTGTTTAAATTGGGCCTTGTGGATATTGATTTTAAACCCAAGTCACTAGCTCATTAATGAGCATGGACATGATTCAATAAGGGACATGGCCTCTCGTAAGAGGCCATGCCATGCCACGAGATGGCATGAAAATTTCCAAGTATGAGAAGTCCATGGCCATGCCGCCCCATGACCAAGGCCTAATGAATGAAAAATAAACTAAGTCTGGAAGAGGTACACGCCACTTCAAGGAGAAGCACGTGCCGCCTCACGAGAAGGGGCATGGACGCGAGACAAGAGGCCCTAGGTATGATTGAAAAATGCTAAGTATGAGAAAACCATGCCACCTCAAGAGAAGAGCCATGTGCATGATTGAGAGATCCATGGCCGTGTCACGAGAGGGGCCATGGACGCAAGGCCGCGAATCACACTTCAAAGAAGACAAAGATATTCTAAGTGTGGAGAAGGACTTGTCGCTTCAACGAGGAGGGTCATGTCCCTCTAGAGATTGAGAAGGTCATGTCGTGTCACATGAAGGGCCACGAGCATGAATGAGAGATCCATGGCCGCGAATGAAGAGGCCATGCCGCCTTATGACCAAATTCGAATGACCTAAAAATATTCTAAGTCTAGTAAGAACATGCCGCTTCATGAGAGGGGCCATGTGCACGATTGAGAGGTCCATGCCGCCTCATGAGAGGGGCCATGGACACAAATAAAAAGGGTGTGGTGATGGAGCATTATATCACTAGTGAATATGTCTCAAGAGGTCCATGACCATTAGACAAGAAGGCCATGGACATGAGTAAGAAGTCCATGGCCGCGAGGGAAGAAGAATACGACCCCCTTTGCGAGACACCACATGCTCGTCAAAAGACTAGCATGGCACGAGATTCAGAACAAGACTAGGCAAGGCAAGCTACACTCCAAAACCCACGACGGTTCCAAGAGAGGCACCTAGGCGGTTGAAGGAGTAACCACCACTCCGAGGAAGCAGGGAGCGGTTCTTTTTGGGAGTTATCCAAGAGGCGGTTTTCTACCGAAGAAGGGGGAGCGGTTCTTTGTAACAGTTATCCAACAAGCGGTTTTCTATGGCGGTTACCTCCTCGGGGCTATAAATAAGAGGAGGGGTCGACAGAGACAAGGGGTTCCAAAACCAACACTCTGACACACATGTCAAGTTTATCCTTTACCTTTTCTCTATCGTGTAGCCATAGATGTAGTTCGTAACTTGGAGCTCTTGCCGAACCTCCATAGGAGTAGAAGTAATTTAATTTAGATCTCGTTCCCAAAAAACCATCAATCAAATACCCTCGTTCGAACTTTGTTTGAAGAGGTTTGAGCCGTGTCTTAGAAATCGTTGTCCATAGAAGTCAAATGTGCAATCCATCTCATTTCAACAAGAATTTTCTCGCCGGGAAACACTATGTCATTTTGCAATTAAGAATGCAATACCAATGTTGATGCTCTTAGTTAGGAGGGATCTTAAACTAAAGAAATCGTTTCTAGAAGCTAAAAAGGGTATTGTGTGTTACATAGCTAGAGTGCCTAGAGTTTTAGAACCGAAAAACCGACCTTAACAACGGACGTGACCCTTAACTTGCTCGTATTTTGAGTTGAACATAGGTCAACGAGCTAGAATAACGCGTAACGCGAAACCATTAATTGGTGGAATTACTATTTAGTTTTGCTTAAGTTTGTTGAACACGGTAGAAGCCAAATTGACAATTTTATTAATTATGAGAATCCCGTTCATAAATACACACTTTCAGACCTTCAAACTCGGGCAACTAACCAACAACTATAACGTGCTAACCCATCGAATAAGCTACCACGACTAATTGTTATTAGGGTTGGCTATTTGGTCCCGGACTGTTTGGTTTTACCCGATACCGGACCGTATAACCCGGACTGGGACCGGATAGCAAACAATGCAATCTCATAGTCGGGCTTAAATTTAAGGTAAAAAACCCGATAAGAGACCCCCAACACCTAAAATCAAGATAAAATTGGGACCGGACCAGATCAAGACCGGACTGTATCCAATCCAATCTTTGGTCCTTATATTCCCGAAAAGACCGGACTGGGACCGGATCAATTTGGTCCAATTTAACCGGACCGGACCGTATAGCCACCCCTAATTGTTATCACGTATAAGGGTATTGGACCGAACCCAATATGGACCCAAATACACTTGTAGTAACTTTAGATTTGAATTAGGTATGAATTGAGTCCAATTTGAGTTTTAAATTCTAACTATATCAATTGTCAATAGAATAATATTCACTTTTCAAATACTAATATTATCCAATTTTCACTACTCACTTATGAAAATAAAAATTAATATGCTTATGTAAAATTCACTATTCATTATTAATTATGAAAATAATATCAATTTGTTGTCATCTCGTAGCTAGATTAAGACATTTAGTTACATGTTTCTTCCTTTCCTTTTCGGTCTCTGTTTGCTCGTGTTTGGAAATTTGAGTATCTTTTATATTCACCATATACTTTAATGTCATCATTATAAACATATATGACAAGGGCTCCGGATACTATAACAACAACCTATTTGTTGTTACCGTAACAACAAGGGCAACATAGTAAAATTACAATTAAGTAATAAAATAAAAATCAAATCATTTATCAAACGCGTCTTCCTCCGTCCCCCGCTCTTCCGCCGCTGTGTTTCGCCATCCTCCACCTGGAACACCTCCACTCCGTCTATCCCCATCCTCCGTCGGAGCGTAATCCATCACTATAACCGCAGCGGCGGCGGCGAAAAAACAGGTTCCTCTTCTCTCACTTCCTGCTTCGTCGTCGACTAACCGCGAGAAGAGCGCTCCAACTCCAACCTCCTCGACGACTGGACCTACAGCGCCCATCTCCCTACCGGAACAAAACAATTCAGATCTCGTTTGTCCTCCTCCGCCTTGCTTTCCCTCACCATCTGTGCAGCTTCCTCCTCCCGCAATTTCAACTCTTCCCTGTTTATAGGTTGTTTACAGACTCACAGCTGTTCAACAAATTCGTGAAATTCGATCCCTGGAGAAAGAGGTTGTCTACCTTATTCTGCACAACCACCGGCGGCGGCGGGTCGTCGCCGAAATCGGGAACAGAGGAAGGCGTGTTTGTAGTACATCGTCGAGATCGCTACCTGGGCCTGATCCCTGTATCCATCTCCACAATCTTCGGCGTTTCATCGGCGACAGCGAGATTGCTAGCGGCGTCGATTATTATTTCGCTGTCGAAAGGAGCAGAGAGCCTCCGACTGTGGTGAACTGAAGCTGAACTTCTCGTCTCGTCAAATCTTCTCATCTCGTCGAATCTCTCCTGGGAAAAGAACCCATTCAATTAAATTTTAAAATCTCGAATTTGAATCTACAAGAAATTGGCTTTGACATTTTAGCTTACCATTGATTTCCGAGCTCGAATTTCTAATCGATTTCGAGCAGCAGCTCTCTGAGACCTAACGGCGGTTTGCGCCCTGATTAATTTGTTTCTTCGTTGTTAATTGGTAGTGGATGAGATGGCAATCATCTCTCTGCAATGTCTCTTGGTGATGGGTCCAAAAACTCATTACCTATTATTCATCCTTAATGCACCAGTAGGTTGTTTCTTAGTATTCCCGTCTTAAAGAGAATTAATGTGCTTGTTGTTTTAGTTAGTAAATATAGGAATATGACTTTGTTACGTACAAATCTTTGTATATGTTCTAGTAACAAATATCTTATATTGTTGTTGCTTTGCGAGCACACTAGAAACCCCCTAATGCAAACTACAAACACGGTAAAACAAACCAAAAATGTCTTAATGCAGACCACAAATATATTAAAACAAACCAGAAACCTCGCAAAGCAAACCACATATATATTATAACAAACCAGAAACCTCGCAAAGCAAACCACAAAAGTTTCGAAAGCACACCAGAAACTTCTTAATGCAAACCAAAAACCTCCTAATGCAAACCACAAATCTCCTAAAACATACTAGAAACCCCACAATGCAAACCACAACATTTGCGAAAGCACACCAGAAACCTCCTAATGCAAATCACAAACACAGTAAATCAAACCACAAAAAAGCAAACCATAAACGTCCTAATGCAAACCGCAAATATATTAAAACAAACCAAAAACCTCACAATGCAAACCACAAAGTTTTTGAAAGCAAACCAGAAACTTCTCAATGCAAACCCCAAACACGATAAAGCAAAACAAAAACTTCTTAATGCAAACCACAAACACGATAAAGCAAACCACAAAAGGCATACGAAAATATGAGAAACCAAACCATAAATCTCACAATGTAGACCATACATCCGGTGGTCGTTGACCGTTGACCGGTCAACGAAGACCGTTGACCGAACTCCGGTGACCGTCAGTGAGCAGATTCCGACGCCGATAGGCATATTCCGGGCCCGATGACTAGATTCCGACGCCGGTAAGCATATTCCGGCCACAAAATAGCATATTCCGGCCACAAAATAGCATATTCCGGCGAAAAAAAAGCATATTCCGGTGACCGACGACCATTTTCCGGCTACCGGTGGCAGAATTCCGGCGACCAGATTTTTGGGCAGAAAATAAAAAAAAAATTTTATTTTTTATTTTTTTATTTAAATAGATTTTTCATAATGACAATTATACCCCTGCTTTGATTTTACACTAAGTCAACTCATCTAATAAAAAGTCATCACAATCCTAGCTTCCTATTGGTTGGGGACTAGTGTTGTTACAATAGCAACACAATGGATGTTGTTATAGCAACCGGTCCTATGACAAGGGAGACACCTAATGGCTAATGGGAACATAATCAAGATGATCATTGTACTACTGGATTGCACCTGATCAAGAGAGTTGCTGTATATTTTCCGCAGCTCTATACATGCAAGCAAATTGCAATTCTTGTCCTTGCTTTCCCTCTCTAGCCATCTCTTTCATGATTTGTTTCGTTTTTCTCCTGTTTTACCCATCCCTAACATTAATTATTATAAACTTGGTACGGAATAGATCTGAATTAGTTTTTTTTTTTTTTGTTATCTTTTGCAACAAAACTAAAATTCATCACTAAAAGAAGAATTTTGCGACTGTTATTTTGCTTCCGTCGCAAATTGTATTGACTTTCTCGAAAAGCATACCAAGTACTGTCCGTGGTGGATCTAGGGCTGAGCTAATCCGGGTCACGGCCCAGTCCTCCTCTTTAGATTCAAAACATCATATCCTCCTACCACTATTATATGGAGATAGGGATGGCAATAAAATCCGAACCCACGGGTACCCACCAGACTCAATCCAGTCAACGCGGGTAAAATTCGTGTTGACGGGTTTTGGGCCGGGTTTGAGTTTAAACCCGTTCACTATTCACCGGGTTAGGTTGGGTTTGGGTTTAGATAAACCCGGCCCATGGGTACCTGCCCACACTCATATAATTAATTTTCTCAGCATATTTAATATTGTAAACAACTAATCTTATTTATGTTTGTGGAGACATGTCTAATTTTGGCTTTCTAGTTGTGTAGAATGAATTTGATGTTATCGAGTGGAGATTGAAAAACTTATTTGAAAGGAAGAAGCTTTCAATTAATCATGTTATTTATGGATAATTTGTGATTTGCTTCAATTTTCTTGAGTTTTCTAGATTGGTGTTGAACCATTTGTATAGTTAATTTGTGATTTGCTTGAATTTTCTAGAATGGTGTTTTGTATATGGATAATTTGTATTGAGAGATTGATATTTGACGTTAATTTTGATAGGAACTTGTTATTGTGAATTTTTTACGACAAAAGCCCGTGGATACCCATGAACCCGCGGATACCCAGCGGGTTGGGTTGGGTTTGAGTTTTTCAAACCCAATGATTTTTACCCCGAGTTTTTTTCACGGATAAACCCATGAGTTTGGGTTTGGCAAAACCCGACCCAACCCGACCCATTGCGATTGGAGGTTCTCCATCAAAATACCTTTTATTTAAATTTTCTTGCCTTATGAGTGATTGTAGGAAGGGTAATTTTGTCATCTTAATTATTAGAAATAAAAATAATATTGAATAAAAAACAGCTAGTTTCGACCAAGACAGGCGATAGTTCCCTGGGTTAACCTAGTTTGGAAGGCTGCCATTTCCTCATTCATGGCATTGTCCCAGCAAGGGATGAGCTTTGCCTGTTTATAACTTTGAGGTTCAGGAAGAACAGTAATGGACAAGGAGAAATGTTTGTGAGAAGGGGAAAGGTGATCATAAGTGATGCAGTCACGTAGAGAGTAAAGAAGTTTAGGATCATGAGAAGAGGGAGTAGAAGAAATAAGACTGACATGATAATCAGACAGATAAGCAGGTTTGTGCAAAGCCCTGTAAGGCTTGCGAAGAGTAATGGGAAGGTTGGAAGGAGAAGGAGAAGTGGTTGAACTTGGTGATCAGAAGGTGTGAAGTCAGGATCGACAGTGTCAGCCACATTATGGTCAGAAGGAAGAATTGGGGACTGGTGTGTGTTGTCAAAGAAAAGAGAATGGAAAAGAGAGGAGGAACTGGGATCAGGGGAAGTAGCAGGCAAAGGCTCAGAATGAGCAACAGGCAACTGAGCCTGCTGAAAAGGGAAAACATCCTTGTTCTTCTAGTATTGTGGTTCTCTTACTTATTATGCAAGTCTTGTAATCTATATAAACTCTTTTGTGGTTTTATAATAATACAAGTTACTATTCCTAAAATTCTTATATGGTATCAGAGCCTCTTGCTTAACAACCTACTGATCCAGGAACCCTAAAACCTTTTTCCCCTTTTCACCGGCGGGATGAGCTCTCACTCACCCGGTCTTCTTCCTACCGCAAATTAACCCCCTGCATCCCTCAATTGCCTTTCATGTTATTACTTTTTGAGAAATCTTGAAACCCTAGTAGTGAATTAGGGTAAATCAACGAAGAAGAAGAAGAAGAAGAAGAAGAAGAAGAAGAAGAAGAAGAAGAAGAAGAAGAAGAAGAAGAAGAAGAAGAAGAAGAAGAGAGGCAACATTGGGGAATTAGCCGATCGGCTTCATTCCATTTTCTGAAAACTATATATACATAAGTTCTCTGGGTGAGTTACCACTATCAAACAACAAAGATAAAGTAGAGTACTGTTTACTAACGGTAGCTAAACTAACCAATCACAAAACGCCAAGTGGCTAACTATCTATTATTCTCTAGTTCACTATGCTACATCGTTCTCCTCTCGTAGAGTCTACTACTTAGACGAAAGCGACACCAGATTATGCAGACTCTTCTTCGTCTTCAACCCAGGTGAAAGGAAGTCTGAGTTGACCCTGAACATTCAAGCTCTCCATCTATGGCTGCCTACAGCATCACTCCTTCACAGGCCCCCTCAAGCTGGGAGGAACATATTGTGAACTCCTAGCTTTGTGTGAAGAGTGTCAAAGCGATCAGAAGACAACCCTTTTGTGAAGAAATCCGCGAGTTGTTCTTCTGATTGGATGCGATGCAGAGAAAGTAAACCATACCTCAGTCTTTCACGAGTTACATGGCAATCGACTTTGATATGTTTTGTGCGCTCGTGAAAGACTCGATTTTTCTGCGATATGCAGTGCAGATTGATTGTCGCAGTAGATTCGAATCGGTGATGGATGCTCAACACCATAGAAACCCATAAGTGACTTCAGCCACTAAACCTCACACGAGAGCTGAGCCAAAGCTCTATACTCTACTTCAGAGGAGGAACGAGAAACAGTAGATTGTTTCTTACTCTTCCAAGTGATCAATGAGTTCCCAAGAAAGGTACAGTAACCTGTAACAAAGCGCCTTGTGTCAGGGCAAGTCGCCCAATCAGAGTCACAATAGCCTGTGAGATGAGTCGAATTGGAGGAAGGGAACCATAAACCTTGAGACAGATGAGCTTTCAAATACCTTAGTATCCTGTGCAAAGCTTGCAAATGAGAAGTAGTAGGGGCCCCCTGAAATTGGCAGAGTTGCTGAACAGGGAAACAGATGTCAGGTGTGGTGGTCGTTACATATTGAAACTGCCCCAGGAGATGACGAAAATCAGAACCATCTAGAATAGGAACACCATCTGAAGCGGATAATGAAGTCTTCATGCTCAGGGGAGTTTTGGCAGGCTTAGACTCAAGAAAACCAGCATCAGACAGCAATTCCAAACAGAACTTGCGTTGACAAAGAGAGATGCCATCAGCAGATCGGGAAATTTCAACTCCAAGGAAGTACTTAAGAGTACCCAAATCCTTGATTTTAAAGGACATATGTAAATGATTCTTAGTCTGTGTAATCAGTTCTGTGCCATTTCCAGCAATGATTAGATCATCAACATATATGATCACAATGACACAAGAGTCTTGACCAAGGATGTCAAACCGGTTTATGCCAGTGTGCCGGTTTAGCTAGTGGAATGGTTCAACCGGTTGCACATACCGGTTTGTGCCAGTTCATGTCGGTCAATATTATAAATAAAATTATAAATACTCATATTTAAACATGACATTTAACGTCAATACTTAGACATTTATACCTGAATCCAACAAATAACATCAAATTTAAATTTTATACTCATAAAATAAATAATAACATAATTTTTATCAATTAAATTCACTAAAATAAGATCATTTTACTTAGAGATTCGTATATCGATCATGCCGGTCATACCGGTGGTGTCATGCTGGTTTTATGACCGGTACCGGTTGAACCAGGTACAACCGGTGGTACGCCGACTGGCGTGACAATCATGGTCTTGACGTTGTAGTTTAAAGACAGAGTAATCATCATAAGACTGAATGAACCCAAAACTCTGTAAACACTGATTGAGTTTAAGATACCACTGACGACTGGCCTGCTTGAGACCATAAAGCGATTTCCTGAGTTTACAGACCTTGCCTTGCATACATGCTTGCTCTTTAAGGTTAGGAGGAAGTTCCATGTAAACTTCTTCATCAAGATCCCCATGTAAAACGCGTTACTAACATCCATTTGTTGCAAATCCCAACCTTTAATAGCCACAACTGCCAAGAGCAACTTAACAGAATTCATTTTGGCCACAGGAGAATAAGTATCCATAAAATCAACTCCATGTGTTTGTGTATAGCCCTTGGCAACCAAACGTGTCGTGCATCTTTCCACAGAACCATTAGGCAAGTACTTGGTTTTGTAAACCCATTTGTTGCCTACAACTAGTTTTTTAACAGGACGATCTACCAAATCCCAAGTCCTGTTGGCATCCAGTGCTGCCATTTCCTCATTCATGGCATTATCCCAGCAAGGGATGAGCTTTGCCTGTTTGTAACTTTGAGGTTCAGGAAGAACAGTAATGGACAAGGAGAAATGTTTGTGAGAAGGGGAAAGGTGATCATAAGTAATGCAGTCACGTAGAGAGTAAAGAAGTTTAGGATCATGAGAAGAGGGAGTAGAAGAAATAAGACTGACATGATAATCAGACAGATAAGCAGGTTTGTGCAAAGCCCTGTAAGGCTTGCGAAGAGCAATGGGAAGGTTGGAAGGAGAAGGAGAAGTGGTTGAACTTGGTGATCAGAAGGTGTGAAGTCAGGATCGACAGTGTCAGCCACATTATGGTCAGAAGGAAGAATTGGGGACTGGTGTGTGTTGTCAAAGAAAAGAGAATGGAAAAGAGAGGAGGAACTGGGATCAAGGGAAGTAGCAGGCAAAGGCTCAGAATGAGCAACAGGCAACTGAGCCTGCTGAAAAGGGAAAACATCCTCATAGAACACTACATCCCTACTGATGAAAACCTGTAGGGTGCCTAAATCAAACAACATGAATCCTTTCACATCAAATGGATAACCGAGGAAGGCTGCTTTCCTAGCGCGTGGATAAAATTTCCCTTTATGCTAATCCAAAACAGTGGCATAGGCCAAACAACCAAACACCCTCAGATTGCTATAGTTAGGTGGAACACCATAGAGACATTCAAAGGGAGACTTGTTCTCCAAGAGAGGTGGTAGGTATCCTATTGATTAAATAGGAAGAATGAAGTACAAAATGACTCCAGAAACTCTTAGGTAAACCGGATTGAAGCTTTAGGGATCTAGCAATATTCAACAAATGTTGATGTTTTCTTTCTACCCTTCCATTTTGCTGGGCAATCCTCACACAACTCATTTGATGTATAATGCCTTGTGACTGATAGAATTCAGGCATGTTGAACTCTTGACCCTGATCAGATCTTATGATCTTGACAGACTTATCAAACTGAGTCTTTACCATTAAGCAAAAGGATTGTAACAAAGATCTGGTTTTTTATTTGAAGCCCATGAGAAACAACCAAGTGCAGCGACTATAATCATCCACTATGGTAAGGAATTATTTGAAACCATCATGAGAAACTACATCAACAGGTCCCCATATATCAACATGGATCAAATCAAACACAGACTTGCTACGAGATTGACTAAGAGGAAAAGGAAGCATCTTCTGTTTAGACAATTGACAGATCTCACAATGAGAACTAGAAGGAAAAAAACGTCATTACAATATTTCTGAATGGTCTGTAATCTAGGAAGAGATAAATGGCCAAGTCTAAGGTGCCACAAGGTAGAGTCCTGACTGGTTTTCACTCCACAGATTTGAGGTAAGGTTGTGTTTGGGTTCCCTGCATCACTCCCAAGCAAGTAGAGCCCTCTATCTACCCGGATTGAACAAATCTTCTGTTGCGATATTAGGTCCTGGATGCAACAGAAGTTGAATTCAAAGGTGAGTGAAACTGGTGTATTTTTGGTTAACTGACTAACAGAAATAAGGTTATAAGAAAAAGAGGGAACCTATAGAACATTGGTGGGTAAAATGTCACAAGGTAGTTTAACCAATCCTATGTGAGTGACCTTGGATTTCTGACCATTAGGTAGGTTGAAAACATATGGGGAACCTCTTGAGAGCGCAAGAACAAATTCACATTGCAAATAATGTGATCACTGGCACCGGTATCAAGAACCCAAACAGCTGACAAAGCAGCCTGAGAAGTAATGGTAGAAGGAGTGCTACCTGAGATGGATTAATGAGAGCCACTAGGGCGAGTCAGGACAGAATTGGACTGAGGGAACTGAGCAGGAGGATGAGGATGATGTTGCTGGAGAAGACTGCGCAACTTGTGAATCTCATCAGCTGAAAACCAAATAGGTTGACCCTCTTGACTGGTCCTGGGCTCAGAAATAGGACTAGATGGACTTTGAGAGATCCCTCCAAATGAGACCACTCCATCATTCCAAGTAGTATCAATGGAACCAGCAAAAGTGCGCCCTCCAACCTCACTCTTCCTCTTATTTTTCAACTTTAAACAGTCCTCAATGAGATGGTTTTCCTTCTTGCAGTAGCGGCATAAGAGGTCCTAAGACTTCTTACCATCTTTTCCAGACTCCCTGCGAGGGCCAGATTGACCAGATAAAGCTGCAAGAGCAATGGACTCAGCGGTATTCTTGGTTTTGCCAGTAGTCATTTGACGCTCAAGCTGAACAACAGCCTGGTAGACTGTGTCCATATCAGGTAAGGGATCAAGCATAAGCATCTGGGTTTTGACCTGCTGGTAGGTCTCGTTCAAACCCAGTAAGAAACGGATCACTCGCCCCCTATCCCGATACCTGATCACAGTCTCAGAGCATTTGGAAGCATATTCACAAACATGAATAGGTTCATAATGTTCTTGTTCATCCCACGGAAGTTTCAAATCAGTATGGTACTGACGCACAGTTTTCGTGCCATGTTTAGTAAGATCAACCTTCTCTTGCAAATTAGCAATACGCACAGAATCACCCTGACTAAACTTAGATCTCAAGTAACCCCGAGCATCAGCAGCAGATCTGATGGAATGCAGACTAGGAACGATGTCCTCAGAAACAAAATTGCGAATCCAGCAGAGAATAGTACCATTGCAACGATCCCAAGTGCTACGAGAAGGATCAGTTTCATCAGGTACCTAAACTGTGTCGTCGATGAAACCCCATTTGTTCTTCGTGCGTAGAGCAACTTCCATGGACTCACTCCACAGAAGGTAATTATCATCATTCAATTTGAAGCTGATGATGGGGAGAAAGGAATTGTCACTGGCATCTAAGTACAAGGGATTGGAATAAGGATCTTCATAGCGAGTCGCAGGGGTCGCATTGGTGGTGGTGGAGGCATCAGAACCAGGAGAAGTGGGATCAGCCATAGTGAAAGGAAGTAGCTAGATGCAAAAGAGAGAAAGAAGAAAGCGAACAGAGAAGAATCATGACATGCACTCCAAGATCGGAGGCTCTGATACCATGAGAAATCCTGAAACCCTAGCAGTGAATTAGGGTAAAGCAGCGAAGAAGAAGAGAGGCAACGTTGGGGAATTTGCCGATCGACTTCATTCCATTTTCTGAAAACTATATATACATCAGTTCTCTGGGTGAGTTACCACTATCAGACAACAAAGGTAAAGTAGAGTACTGTTTACTAACGGTAACTAAACTAACCAATCACAAAATGCCAAGTGGCTAACTATCTATTATTCTTTGGTTCACTATGCGATGCCGTTCTCCTCTTGTAGAGTCTACTACTTAGACGAAAGCGACGCCGGATTATGCAGCCTCTTCTTCGTCTTCAACCCAGGTGAAAGGAAGCCTGAGTTGACCCTGAACATTCAAGCTCTCCATCTATGGCTGCCTACAACATCACTCCTTCACACTTTTGTCCTTATTTTTACTTCCCAAATAATTTCGTTAGTTGTTTTTATACATCTTGATAGGGTTTTCTTTCTATCCCTAATCGTCTTCCTTGCCTCTCGTCCCTAGCATAACAGTTCAAGCTTCCATATACCACACCCCATACCGTTCCTTCAAAAGATATCATAATCATTATTTCGTTGCCGATTCTGATAATTTTTAGTGCTCTGTCCATCGACCACTATCGCCTTGCCCTTGGAGATCAAGATCAGGTTTTTATAAGCTGGCGTTATTGTTTTATCTTATATTCATATTGTTGCCGCATTATATGGCGGAGCCTGTCACCCTCCAGCCATCTCTTCTTTGCGGGTATGGAACGAAGAAAGCTTCTCTGACAATGGTCATTCAGATGAATAGCTCGTGTCCTACACCAGTTTACGTTTATTGGTATCGTCAAAACCAATTGATTAATGTTCATCTCGTTTCCGGTCAATTTCTGACGGCGAGTGAGTTTGGTTGCAACATATGAATTGCAAGTTTGATAATTTCTTCTTATCCAAGACGACGGTTAATTGGCTTCGCTCTTCAAGCGTGAGAGTCTACGAGTTTGCATCATATTCTACATCATCACATTGCGGGGGTTTGTTCTTCAAGATTGGCGTATTTTGGTCAACATTGATGTTGTTCTTCACACCATCATCTTGTGAGGGCGTGTTATAGATAAATTAGGAATAATCTTATATTTTCTTGTCCTTCTAGTATAGTACTTAGTATTTGCGTGTCCTTCTAGTATTGTGGTTCTCTTACTTATTATGCAAGTCTTTGTGATTTGTTTTATAATATTTTTGTTCTGTTTTATGGGCATTGTAGCATGTTATAAACTAGTGCAAGATATTTTTCATGAGATTTGTGTTTTGTTTAATGAACTTGATATCTTTTTACGAGATTTGTGATTTGCTCCATAATTGACTTTCGCACCAAAGGTTTGTAGTTTTCTGGTGTTGCTGCGTATTGAGAATTCCCACCTATGTACATGCATCAAAATTATTCCCACCTATATACATGCATAAATTGCAATTCTTGTCCTTGCTTTCCCTTTCTAGCCATCTCTTTCATGATTTGTTTCGTTTTGCTCCTGTTTTAATTACCCACCCCAACCTTAATTATTATAAACCTCATTGCACGTAAAATATATATAATAGTCATACATACATGCATTATTCAAAGAGCTTCCTCCATAAAGACTCCCTATCATGGGCATACCTCCAATGCCATTTGCACAGAATTGCCTAATTATAAGGGTTAAGATCAAGAATTTCAAGTCCTCCCTTCTCCTTAGGGGTTTTGCACCTTCTGCTTATCATGTACTCCTTACTGTACATGGGCGCTGGGCCGTGCTTGGACCGGCAGGCGGCAGGGCACGGGCACGCTCCGGGCCCATTTATTTCGTGCCCGTCAGTTTTCGTGTCGTGCCGTGAAAGCCCATTTGTTAACTTTGCTAGGCCCGGCCCAGACCCGAGCACAGTTCGAATCGTGTCGTGCCTATTCGTGATCGTGCTCTACTAATATTCGTGTCTAATAAAAAAGAAAAAATAAAATAAAAGAGAGAATGAAAAGAAGGTGAAAAATTAGATGGAGAAAGATAGTATTAACCGAGAATGTTTGAGAAAAGTAACAAATAAGGGGGAAAAGAAAATTGGAAGTATAGCGGGTGTGATTTGACATTGTTTAATTATTCGTCCATTTTTACTTAAGGTAGTAATTACGTATATATCTTTATGACACTTCTAACAACAACAAATAATTATTTTTTTACTTGTATTTTATAACATTTGAATCTATCATTCTTTTTATATTTATTTTCTATCAAATAAATGTTATTTTTGTGCCATGACCGTTCTTATACTCGATAAAATCTCAAAAATATTAGGCCCAACACGACACACTTATATACCGTGTCGCGCCCATGCTCGTGCCCATGAAATTTAGACTCAAAACGACCCATAAATTATTCGTACTCGTGCTGGATTGACTCATTTATTCCGTACACGTGCTCATACCATGCTGTAATCGTGTCGTGTCGTGCTAGCCCATAGGCGGCACGACCCTTGTCCACGTACACTCCTTACCATATGAAGTCGCATTGTATTTTCTCGATGCAAGCAACAACTGATCATTTTGACGCACTGTAGAGGGAGCACATATAGGTTGGTTGGCTAGCAAGACAATAATTGCTCAAAATTATCCTCCCTCTAAAAAACAGATGCTTACCCTTCCAAACTCTCAAGCTTTCTTTATAGTTTGTAATAGCAGGTTTCCAAATTGCCGTTGGAGAAACGTAGAAAGATTTGATCTAGTGGTAATACCATTAGTCTTGAACCTGGAGGTCCCAAGTTTGAATTCTTTAAGTAGCACTTTAACCCAAAAAAAAGTAACGTATATCATCCTTATCCAACAACAAAAAATTGCAGTTGAAGAAAGTGGGGGCACCAAGAGGCAGCTCGAAATACAGCATAGGTAAAAAAAAATCACACTCGCAGCCTAAAATTTCAGTAAGTCTTTTAATATTACGAACCTCGCCGACAGAGTGCATTCGAATTTCATCAAGATTCACTTTCAATCCCATAACACTCAGAAATTTGTAGATCCAATAGATCATGATGAACTCGTTCCTTCTGATCAAACGTTTTCAAAAACGACTTAAAAACGAAGAAGTTACCATATGGTATGTAGTTGGTAACGGGTGGTATGAAAAAACATTCTCGAAATATATTGAAAATTGATTTCATTTTGTAGAGCACAATGAACGCGTTCCATCTGTGCAAAAAAAAAAAAATTTAATCCGAGTTAGAACGAAGAAGATAAGAGTCAATTAAAAAAACTAGATCTAAAAAGATAAGAGTCAATTCTTTAAGTAGTCAATTAAAAAAATTGATTTCATTTTGTAGGGAAAATAAAATGTTTTTAATTGACAACCCTTAGATCTGGATTTTTTAGGTCCACTTAGATCTAAAGGTTCAGATTTATTTACTCATATATCAGTAAGCAATGGTTACTTACCCTATCCTAATCTCGTAAAATATATATAATAGTGATGCATGTGTTATTATTGCCCTTGCTTTCCCTTTCTAGCTATCTTTCACGTGATTTTATTGTTTCCTTTCGCTCTTGTTTTATAATCATCCCCACTCTGCCTTAATTATCATAAACTTGATAGGAAGATTTTTTTTTTTTTTTAAACTACCTTGCTTTCATTCACTTAAAAGTAAAAATAGTCTGGGCATCATTACATAAGGGATGGGCTAAGAAAAAAGGGGTTGAAAATGCGTAGTTATATGAAGCACAATACCATGTCTACAACTCATGTATTTATAACCAAGAGTTCAAAACTGAAGCACAATACCATGTCTACAACTCATGTATTTATAATAAACCTATCCGTCCTATTAGCATATTTGAAGTAAATATAACAATTTAATCATAATCTATTACAACAATTCCATTTAACTCCTCGAAACTTCTTCCTCGATACGTTTTCAGGTTGTCATATACTTGTACGTTTTTTTCAGTTTACACAAAACACGTGTATTTTGTTGCTTCGTATTATAGCACAATGAACTATCATCACAATTATTTTGAATTTTTATATTTTGAGTATTGGTTTGCTTTAATAATTTAATTATGCTTGTAATTTGATCATATTTTGAGCCATAATATATGGGGCTTGCTATTTGCCGCCAACCAAATTGCTATTTGCCGCCAACCAAAAAAAAAAGTATATATATGCATCTTTGGTTAAGGAGTTTCACAATCTACAACATATCCAACTTTCAGAGAACGTATTTAATCAGAAAAATTCAATGCTCGCCGGAAAAGTCGCCGGAAAAGTCGCCGGAAAATCATCGATGAAAAAAAATGTATATATATACATCTTTGGTTAAGGAGTTTCACAATCTACAACATATCCAACTTTCAGAGAACGTATTGAATCAGTAAAATTCAACGCTCGCCGGAAAAGTCGTCGGAAAATCATCGGGAAAGCCTATCCTCGACATATAATGCGTACACGCATCCATGAATCATCACTAACCATCAGACAATGTGGGCAAAGTGCTACACGAACCATGTGTTTCAAACCCTAAACCCTAAGTGAACCCTGAACCCTAAACCCTTTGTTGATGTGACTTGAATCGGACTATCAGCCGCTACGACTGGTAATCAGCCGCTAGACCACATGGAGAAGTACTATAAATACTTCGTGTTAGTGAACTACGTAAATCGTGTGTCGTGTTGCAATGCTCTATTTATATGTTGTTGTTTTTCTAGTTGTATTTTTAATGACCCTAGTGTCATTATGAACTTATGAATTTCATTATGGATTTCTAGCGAGTTCGGGGTCGATTGGACGAAGATCGGGCGCGAGGCAAGTCAATCGTCGGTCGCCGGCACCGTTCTTCCGTCGTCGGCTAACCTCCCGTCGCCCTCAATCGTCGGAAAACAAGTAAGTTTACTTTTTCCGGCTAGTTTTCCAGTTTTCCGGTAAGTTTTCCAGTTTTCCGGCGAAAAACACGGCGGGCCGAAAAAAAATTGCGGCCCGAACGTCGCCGAGCCGAAAAAAATTTGTGGCCGGGATGACGGCCGGCCGAAAAATTCTTTCGGCCCGGCGACGCCCCGGCCGCAAATTTTTTTCGGCCGGCCGACGAACACGCCGCCGGAAAATTTTTGGCCGGCGTGTTCGGCGACCGGCCGAAAAAAATTCTTTCGGCCCGACGTCGCTCCGGCCGCAAATTTTTTTCGGCCGGCCGACGAACACGCCGCCGGAAAATTTTTGGCCGGCGTGTTCGGCGACCGGCCGAAAAAAATTTGCGGCCGTGGCGTCGCCGGCCGAAAGAATTTTTCGGCCGGCCGTCGTCCCGGCCACAAATTTTTTTCGGCTCGGCAACGTTCGGGCCCCAATTTTTTTTCGGCCCGCCGTGTTTTTCGCCGGAAAACTGGAAAACTTACCGGAAAACTGGAAAATTGGCCGGAAAAAGTAAACTTACTTGTTTTCCGACGATTGAGGGCGACGGGAGGTTAGCCGACGACGGAAGAACGGTGCCGGCGACGGAGGCACTGGGAAGGAAGGGAAAATTCAAAATTAAAATTTTTTTTTTTTTACCGGCGACGGAGGCACTAGGAAGGAATAGAAAATTCAAATTTTGAATTCTTTTTTTTTTTTTAGTTGGCGGCAAATAGCAATTTGATTGGCGGCAAATAGCCGTTCACTAATATATCCGCTATAAATGGCCTTGGTATGGGGGATATGTTTCTTATCCCAACACAAAGCAAAACAAGAAGCAACAAATAAAGAGAGCCAGAGAGGAAGAAAAAGAAAAAAAAAATGGTCGACTCAGCTTCCTACGATCGAGCCGCCGAATTGAAAGCTTTCGACGAGACAAAAGCCGGAGTGAAAGGTCTTGCGGACGCCGGGATCACTGATCTCCCTCGCTTCTTCCACATCCCGCCTCACCTCGTCGACCGCCGCCCAACAATACCTCCCGTCGACGCTCCAGCCCGCTTCATCTTCCCAACAATAGACCTCCAAGCCCTAACAACGATGGACCCCGAGAAGCGAAACGGCATCGTCCAGCAAATGAGGGATGCAGCGTCGGAGTGGGGATTCTTCCAAGTGGTCAACCACGGAATCCCCGAGAATCTTCTAGAAGAAATGAAAGCTGGCGTCCGGAGGTTCTTCGACCTGGACGTGGAGCAGAAGAAAGAATTTTTCGAGCGTGACGACAACACCAAGAAGATCATTTACAACAGCAACTTCGACCTGTACAAGTCGCAGTTTGCCAATTGGAGGGACAGCATCTACATCAACATGGCACCGGATCCGCCCAGCCCTCAGCAACTCCCCGATTGCTGCAGGGAAATCCTGATTGACTACTCCAAGGAAGTGATGAAATTGGGAGATCTGATTCTGCAACTGCTGTCGGAGGCTCTGGGTCTGGCCCGAAATCATTTGCGAGAAATGGACTGCTCGGGTGGATTGTACTTACTTTGCCATTGCTATCCGGCCTGCCCTCAGCCCGAGTTGACCCTAGGCTCGAGCAAGCATCAAGACGATGACTTCATAACGCTGCTTCTCCAAGATCACATCGGAGGCCTTCAAGTTCTCCATCAGGATCATTGGGTCGACGTGCCTCCGGTACCTGGGAGTCTCGTGGTCAACATTGGAGACTTTCTTCAGGTGAAGAAGGCATAGCTTAAATTAATATATAGAATATTAATGCATCTCGACCTTCTTCTTTTTTCTTCTTCTTCTTTTCCTTATGGCGTCTTGATCATGGCTGGCTTGATTTCTAACGTGTCCGGTTGATTATGCTCGCGATATTTTTCAGCTTGTATCCAATGATAAGTTAATAAGCACGGAGCACCGCGTGGTATCGAAAGACATTGGGCCTAGAGTGTCGGTGGCCAGCTTCTTCACTCATGGCTTCGCACCAAACTCTCGGATGTACGGACCCATAAAAGAATTGTTGTCTGATGAGAACCCTCCAAAATACAGGGAAACATCGATTCAGGATTATTCTGCCTACCTTTACGAAAAGGGTACTGGTGGCGATGGGCCCCCTATTCTGCATCACTTGAAGCTCTGAAGTGGAGGCAATGGAGCCCGAATTCCATTTGGTCGGAGATGGTTTTTCGTCAATTGACGTGCACTGGTTTGGTACGAAAAAAGATCTCGTTGTGGGAGAAGTTTTAAGTAAGGATGAAATAAGGACCGCTTTCGCTTTGTTTCCAGTACACCATAATTTATTAGAGATTGTCGATTTAAAATATGAATTATATTTCTATATGCCGGGACCTTATGCGGCAATGTGTCATTATGGATAAAATTTCTGAAGTTACTGTTGGAAGAAGGATCAAGCTCGAGTCAGTTGGAGTCCAAATAAGAAGCAGCGGCGTCGTTCTGGTTAGTGTCAGTCTGGTAGTCTATTGCCGACTCAGTTAGTGGTTGTCGTTTGAGTCTGAACACATGTATGCTGCAAATTAGGGTCAGTAGTTGTAGTTTGATAGACGAGTTAGTAATTCTGTTAGAGTCAGTCAGAATTGTCAGGGGTTAGTTGCTGAAAAACAGGAAAATGGGGTTGTGGGTTGTAGACAGGCTGAGTCAAGAGTCATATTGTATTTAAACTCTTCTTCATTTATCAATAAAAGCCGTTAGTTTGCCCCAGATTTGCTTACATTGTGGTATCAGAGCATTGGCTTACTGTAACCAAGTTTGTGTGAAGAAAAGAGTGACTGATTGATTGAGTGTACAGTTGGGTTGGGAAACACGAGAGTACTGGTGAGGAAGTGCATCCTTGGTGAGTGAAACACGAGTGATTAGTGAGTTGAGAGAAATCTGCAAAGATGAGAGAAAATGCAGGCTTTGCACAGGTGTGCATCCCTCGCTTTGATGGGGACTTCGATCATTGGAGCTTACTCATGGAGAATCTGCTAAGATCAAAAGAGTACTGAGGAGTAGTCTCCAAAGGGTTTCAAGAGCCTGCAGAAGGAGAAGTGCTGTCAGAAACGCAGACCAAAGCACTGGAGGAGTTGAGGCTAAAGGACCTCAAGGCTAAGAACTATTTGTTCAGTTCGATTGACAAGACAATATTGAAGACCATTGCTCAAAAAAGCACAGCCAAAGAGCTATGGGACTCAATGAAGATGAAATACCAGGGAAGTGAGAGAGTCAAGAGGGCTCAGTTGCAAACCTTGAGAAGGAGTTTTGAATTGCTGGAAATGAAGGTTGGAGAGAGTGTCAATGACTACTTTGGAAGGGTCATGGTGGTTGCCAATGGTATGAGGAACTGTGGGGAAGAAGTAACTGATGTGAAAGTGGTGGAGAAGATTCTGAGGACCCTAACAGAGAGGTTCAACTATATAGTTTGTTCTATTGAGGAGAGCAAAGATATAGACACCCTCTCTGTGGATGCCCTTCAGAGTTCCCTCCTAGTACATGAGCAAAAGTTTTTGAAGAAGGCTGATGTTGAAGATCAAGCACTGAAAATCACCCATGATTTTGGAGTTAGAGGTGGAAGAGGAAGAGGAAACTTTCGTGGCAGAGGAAGAGGTGGAAGAGGATGGAATCGAGAAACCATTGAGTGCTTTTATTGCCATAAGCTAGGGCACTTCAAGTATGAATGCCCTGAACTGTATGGTCAACAGATACACTTCACTCAGGCTGCAGTAGAACAAGAAAGAAGCTATCCAGACATGAAGGAAGAAATGTTGCTAATGGCATATCTGGAACCTCAGGAGAAGGAAGAGGAAGAACCTGAAATTCATATGGGCTTGACTGCTGCAAACCAGGATCAACCCTCAACTGAAGAATGGTGGTTCCTAGACTCAGGCTGCAGCAATCACATGACAGGTAACCGTCAGTGGTTCACTAAGCTTGATTCATCATTCACTTGTACTGTTAAGCTTGGAAATGGAACAAGGCTGGCTGTGAAAGGGAAAGGAACCATCAAACTTGAGGTAGGAAAGTTGTCTTTAATGGTTCAGGAAGTATTCTATGTACCAGGTTTAAAGTCAAACCTGGTAAGCATAGGACAAATGCAGGACAAGGGACTAACTTTTCTAATTAAAGAAGGGGTGTGCAAACTATTTCATGAGGAAAAGGGTGTTGGTACAGACTACTATGAAGTCTAATAGGTTGTTTGTCCTACACAGCAAGATACCTGTAAGGGCTGGAACTGAGAACCAATGCCTCCAAATCTCATATAGTGAAAAGGAGGAACTAAACCTGTGGCATAGAAGATTTGGTCACCTCAACTTTCAAGGATTAATGGGACTGCAGAAGAAAGGGATTGTGAAAGGCTTACCTATACTGAAAGGCAAGCCAGAAGTCTGCTCAACTTGTCTGATTGGGAAGCAACATCAAGCTCCTTTCCCCATGCAAAGTAAATGGCAGACTACCAGGAAGCTGCAGATTGTACATGCTGATCTCTGTGGGCCTATAACACCAGTCTCAAGCAGTGGGAAGAGGTATCTTTTTACTCTAATAGATGACTTTAGTCGAAAACTATGGGTCTATTTCCTTGCTGCAAAATCAGAATCCTTTAGCATGTTCAAAGTGTTCAAAGCTCAAGTAGAAAAAGAGTCTGGCTTATCTGTTCAGTGTCTGAGAACAGATAGGGGAGGAGAGTTCATGTTGACTGAATTTAAACAATTCTGTGATGAGGCTGGCATTAGAAGGCAATTAACTGTAGCCCTCGCTCCACAACAAAATGGAGTGGCAGAGAGGAAGAATAGAACTATTCTTAAAATGGGTAGGTGTATGCTTGAAGACACCAAGGTTCCTGCTGTTTTTTGGCCTGAGGCTGTAGCCTGGACTCAACACATTTTGAATAGATGTCCAACTACAGCCAATCAAGTAAAAACTCCACAAGAGCTTTGGCATGGTGTTTCCCCTTCAGTTGAGCACTTCAAGATCTTTGGTTGCACAGCATATGTGCATATTCCTGACCAACAGAGGAAAAAGTTGGATGATAAGAGTCATAAGTGTGTGTTTTTTGGGGTGTCATCTGAGTCTAAAGGGTACAGGCTGTATGATCAAACTACCAAGAAGATCATTTTAAGCAGGGATGTGGTTTTCAATGAACTGCAACCTGGATGGTCTTGGAAATCAGAAATTACACCTGGTCTGACCAAGATTATGTGGGAAGGGAGTGATGATGAGCTTCAGACACAGAAGAGGAACCAGAAAACCTGGTTGCTTCAGAAGCACCTAGTATAGACTCTCCTGAGATCAACAACTCAGCAGCAACATCGTCTACATCAGAGTCCTCTACAAGCTCAAATACCGTAGATGAAGATGAAGAAGAACCTGCTGATGTGCTAGGTCTCCCTCAAGGAGAGCTAACTCCCAGGATTTCTAAACTGCCAGCACGCTTTAATGACTATGAAATGGGGTGTGTAGAGGTAGATTGGGCTGTAATGATTGCAGCAACGGGAGATCCTCAAACATTTGCAGAAGCCATAAAGGAAGAAAAATGGAAGAAGGCAACCTTACAAGAGATGGAAGCAATAGAGAAGAACTGCACATGGGAGCTAGTTGATGCACCTCCAGATGTCATTCCAATCGGGCTGAAGTGGCTATTCAAAACCAAACTGAATGAGGCAGGAGAAGTGGATAAGTGCAGAGCTAGGCTGGTTGTGAAGGGCTATGCTCAACAATATGGCATAGACTATGACGAAGTGTTTGCACCTGTGGCCAGATGGGACACAATCAGGGCATTCTTGGCCTTAGCAGCTTTTCATGGCCTCACTGTACATCAGCTGGATGTAAAATCTGCCTTCCTACATGGTACCTTGACTGAGGATGTGTATGTGACACAACCTGAAGGCTATGTAATTGCAGGTCAGGAAACCAAAGTCTACAAACTCAAGAAGGCACTTTATGGATTAAAACAGGCTCCTCGAGCTTGGTATAGCAGGATAGAGCACTATTTTGAGCAGGCTGGGTTTCAGAAGTGTGCCTATGAACATACCTTGTTCATTAAAAGAGAAGGATCAAACTTGCTGCTGGTGAGTCTTTATGTAGATGATGTCATGTATGCCAACAACTCTGAATCCATGCTAACTGCATTCAAGCACTCAATGCAAACTGAGTTTGAAATGTCTGACTTGGGAAAGATGAGATATTTCTTGGGAGTTGAAGTTGTCCAGACTGAGGAAGGAATCTTTCTATGCCAGCAGAAGTATGCAAGGGAAATCCTAGAGAGATTTAAGCTATTGGAGTGCAACATGACTAAGAATCCAATGGCTTCTGGAACCAAGCTATCAGTAGAAGGAGATGGAGTTCCAGCCAATGCAACACAGTATAAGCAGCTGATTGGCAGCCTGCTCTACATGACTGCCACAAGACCAGATATTGTATTTTCAGTCTGCCTACTAAGCAGGTACATGGCTGCCCCAACCAGAGTGCACATGCTTGCTGCCAAACGCGTTCTGAGATATTTGAAGGGCACTCTAACTCATGGTATCTGGTACAAGAAGCAGGGAGGAGGAGGAAGCTTAGTAGGATACACAGATAGTGATTATGCAGGCGATTTAGATGACAGAAAGAGCACAAGTGGCTATGTGTTCTTCCTGTCAGGGGGAGCTGTCTCATGGTCTTCAAAGAAGCAACCTGTTGTAACACTATCTACTACTGAAGCTGAATTTGTGGCTGCTGCTAGTTGTGCAACTCAGTGTGTATGGCCAAGAAGGGTTTTGGAGCAGATGAGTTGGAATGCAAGTGTCCGGAAGGAACCAAGATCTACTGCGACAACAATTATGCTATCAAGTTGTCAAAAAATCCTGTTCTACATGGGAGGAGCAAGCATATAGATGTAAGGTTTCACTACCTAAGAGAATTGGTCAAGGATGGAACTGTGGAACTGGTTCATTGTGGAACTACTCACCAAATCGCAGACATTATGACTAAGGCTGTCAAGAATGAGACATTTGAGTTTCTTCGAAATCAACTTGGGGTGAGGAAGTTGGAGGAGGTTGCAGCAGTAAGGAAGGTTTGAAGCTGAAGTTTGAACTGAAGTCTTCACAGGCTTCAGTTCAGGGGAGGCTGTTGGAAGAAGGATCAAGCTCGAGTCAGTTGGAGTCCAAATAAGAAGCAGCGGCGTCGTTCTGGTTAGTGTCAGTCTGGTAGTCTATTGTTGTCGTTTGAGTCTGAACACATGTATGCTGCAAATTAGGGTCAGTAGTTGTAGTTTGATAGACGAGTTAGTAATTCTATTAGAGTCA